TGATTGCTGTGTATCTCCATGAAGCGACCGGATTCGGGATGCAGGAAGCGTCCCGCAAAATGCAGAACGTTCGCATCGAAGTCCTTGTCGATGGCATAGCACACATCGAAGCCGGGCACCGATTTGTTCTCGAACTGGCGCAGCCGATCCCCAATAAAGGCCGGCACTCGCATATCGTAGACGGTATTGTTGACTCGCACAAATCGGCCCGTCGGCATTGCGTCGTCGTTTGTCTCAATCGTATTATCCGCCGATATGACCAAGCGGTGCTCCAGTATGCCCTTGCGGCCCGCCTTCTGCCCGGCCAGATTGAAGTAGCAATGATTGCTGATATTCACGGGCGTTGTCTGATCCGTGCGCGCCTCGATTCGCATATAGAAGCGATTGTCGTTGTCCATGGTGAAGTGCAGCAGCACGGTCAGCTTGCCCGGATAGCCCTCGTGGCCCTGCGCGGACTCATGGCTGAGCGTAATCCCGTCCGGACGCATCATGTGCAGATTCCAAATGATGCAATCGAATCCAATGTAGCCGCCATCGATCTGATGTTGATTATTCAAATTGCGCGAGACACGCACCTTGCGCCTGTCCATTATGAACTCCCCGTTCGCCACACGATCCGCGACTCGTCCCAGCATACAGCCAAATCTTCGCTGCCTATTCGACAAGTAGCCGGCCACATCGTCGAAGCCGAGCACCACATCCTCCACATTGTGGTACGCATCCGGGCACTTGATGCTCTGTATTGTCGCGCCCAACTGGATGATCTGCACGGACAGATGATTCGCATTGCTAATCGTGTAGCGTCGCACCACCTGGGCCTTGCCCGTGAACGGATTGATGGCGATGCCAAAGATATCCTCCGTCACTTTTACCATAATGCCAAATTTCGACAATTTTTTTCTCTCAATTTTTCTAAATTTTTTTTATCGGTTTTTTTTTTTTTGTCGTTTGAAAATAATTCATTTTGTGACGTTTGGCATGAATAATGGGTTTATCTCGCATTCTGATAAATTCCCAGAATTCAGTTTGCAATTCCAATGCAATTAACCTTCAGTCAAACAGCCTTGAAACAGGTTTTTTGTTTTCCCCAGAAAATGTACGCTAAAAGTTCGTATCGTCCGTTTTAAATTCTCAGAAATCATAACTACGGCGAAATCTGTTCAAATTGCAACATCCAACTAATGGTTAAATCTGTCTGACACGTTGATGGTCTCTGCACTTGCCCCAGCACACACTTTCCACCCATTCCAGGTATTATAATAAACCGATTGGCCTCCATCCATTCCTGGTATCATAATGGACTGAACTTGACCTTCAGAACAATTGACCTACCGCTGGAAAATTTAAACCGAACTCTCCGTTAAATATGTTGACAAAATCGGTAACAATCAACAAGCACACACTGCAGATACCCTAATAGAGGGTATTATAGTTTATAACAGGACACGTCTCTGACCTCATGAAGTATATATGTACATATAATATTCATCAGCATTAGCAGCCGGGTCTATATATGTATGTAGTTATATACATCTGCTTGTCCTACTTCTAATCTCTCAACGTCTTTTTATGGGAATTTGAGCATATATCCGGAATCGACTGGATCGAAGCACTATATCATATAGCTGACATTTGAAAGATTGGCTAAAAATTAAATACATTTAAGAACAACTTTTTTGTCGCTCAAGATATCTTAAAGAAACTGAACATTTTGGGGTCCTATGTATATATAACAAAATCTTTTCAACATCGGCCAATATATTATATATGTAGATGTCGCAGGAGCGATCGGTCAGAATTTAAGTTCTTCTATGAACAACTTTTGTGTGTTTTGGCATTTGCGAGCTCAATCAATATTGGAATACTATATATACAGAACTATAAGATTAATCGGTGGAAAATGATGATATACAATATATATGGGAAGCATTGGTCGAAAAATGAGTTTTGTATGGAAAACTTGTCTGGCTTTTGAAGATGTCTGTCTTAATGGCTTCTGTGCAATGAAAATAGCGTCGAGCTTCTGCATTGCAGATAAGTTAAGCAGTCGAATTGCATGCAGAGAAACTTATCTTATCAACTTATCGGACACTGCACGGACACAAGCTAATATAGTCGAACATTGATGAATGTGCCATAAGCTATGCAATTTTTATGATGTTAGGGCCATGAAATTGCTCTATTTAATCATTGACCGTGACTGGAATTATTAATATGCATTCGTAATGTGCTCGTCACTGAATAATTTATTATGTGCCCCACACACACATATATACATACATATATATATATATATATATATAAATATATATCCGGTCTGTGTAATTGCCATAAAATGCGGCGCTTAAAATCCAATTGCGAACGCTTTCCAGGCCTTTTGAACTGGGCTGGGCTGGGCTGGGCTGGGCTGCGGTCATGGCTCAGTGGATCCTACAATCCGACAGCAGACAACGGGGCCAGAAGCCCCATTTATCGGGGGCAATGCCAGACGCCAGACAGCAGTTGGACTAAAATCTAGTTGCCAGCTTGTTGGCAAGGTAAAAGATAAGCGGGCTATAAGTTGGCCAAATTAGCCGGCTTCATTTTAATTGGAAATGTTATCAAGGCGATTATTAATAATTTCAGTGATAGCCATATAAATCGACGCCAGCGTTTGGCGCTCATAAAAGTATCGACCGATATGATTTTAATAAAGCTTGCGATTGCATAAATCAAGTGCAAATATATTAAATTTTAATATGACATTGTACCTAGACGTGTCCACAACATATTCTAGCTTAAGTGAAAGCAAAGAAAATAGAGCAAAATATATATATAACACTTAAAGTCCATGTCAAATTTACCAGCCTCTTTATATATTGTCATGGCAATTGGCTAAAGTTAAATTTCTGTAGATTCGGTATAACCAAGACAGTATATTGTATAAAATATATGAAAAGTATATATCACTGAACTAACTGACAGTTTTCTTATCCGCCTGGCAAAGTTCATGTTAGTTGACAAGCAGCTAGATAGAACTTCAGACCCAGCTACAAGGTACAGTAACTTAAAAGTAAGCTAAAACTTACCTGATTGCCCGATTTGGGTGCAATCTCTAAGAAATACGGTATATTACCGAAGAACTTAATGATCCGGCTCAGAATTTCGCCTGCATCTGCAAATACAACTAGGTATTAGAAACAGTCTAAACTCACCTGGGATTCGAACCCGGATCCAGCATTCAGACAGCTCAGCTACAGAGGAATTCACAGTCCATGTACTTTGACGGAATTGTTTTGACATGTTTACAAACTTACGCGCAAATTATTATTTAATAACACATTTAAAATTCGTACGCCGTAGGACCTATACTATATGTATATACATATAGCAATGCATGTAGAGTCATGAATTTATTATAGGCCATCTGATACGAATAGCTATTTTGTTATTATTTGTTTTTTTTTTTTTTAGTCTAGTCTAGTATTTTACACATGTTACATGTGTTAATACATATTAAAAACAATCAGCGTTCAAGGTCCGCTTTTCGATCTATTAATATTTTAGTGATTTAGTCATACTTGCAGTACTTATCAGACATGACTACATTTTCATTGATACTACACAAACTGCGTACTCTATTCATATTTTGTAGGAGTCTCCACAAATGTATATGATATATGTCAAGAATTTCGTTCATTTAACTTCTACTTAATGCTAACTATTCAAAGCATGCCTTCTCAGTATACTACGTATGTTAGATGTCACGTATACGAAGATGGTTGTGTTATCAACCTAAACGATATCATCGCCTCTGCTCGGAATGTTAGAATGCAAGTCACTTCTTATGCATATGTCGCACAATTCCCCTGCATTCCACAATCCGCTTTGGACGATTATGTTTGCAAGTTTGATTTGCATTTTTTTGTATACCCTGTAGCCGTATAATGTGCATAGAGGGCGTATAATGGAGTTGTGAAAAAATATGAAAATATGGCACATATATAAGTCAGTTGTTAGTTATTTACCGAATATCGCCTTTCTCTGCGATTTTCATAGCCTCAAGTAAGCTGTTTCCGCCCACTTTGACTACTACTTCTTCTAATCATACTCATACTCATACTTATATTCATACTCATACTCATACTCATACTCATACTACTCATACTACTCATACTACTCATACTACTCAACCTACTCATACTCATATTACTCATACTACCCCTACTCATACTACTCATACTACTCATACTACTCATACTACTCACACTACTCATACTCATACTGTGTACAGGGTATTTCATTGCGAGCATTCCAACTTGTTTTGCTGTACGCGACAGCTGCAACCTTAAGCTGCCCAAGCGGTTGTTGCGAGCCGGGTCCGGGTCGAGGTGTTCCTGTCAACGACTGCAGAGCTGCATATACAAAGCTTTCCAGCGTTGAACTGGAACTGGGACTGGGACTGGGACTGGCACTGTGACAGACAAGGGCAAGCGCCAGAAACGACAGACACATGCGAATGGTAGAGATTTAAGGATTAAACCTTACTAGGGCTACATTCTGGCGGGCAGAGAGTTGAAATGTTCTGTCGACCAACTGAAGGCCTTAATACACACATGTCAGGAATGCCATCGTTATGCAATTAAAGGTACATATTAATGCAATTACTTCAGTTGAACGCTTTTGATCAAATATGTATCCGGCTGCCTGAACATTGCAATTACCGTTTACCGATTGGACTAATGAAAGAAATATTCTGATTAATGTTTCGTTCCGAGAATTGTTAATCCGAATGTTAATTAGCGCTCTGCAATTGCGGCTACCGACTATAAAAAAATGTTATAATTTTTTTCCGCCTCTGTGATTTACAAAATTGGAATGTCAATTAAACTACTCAAAGTGAAAGTTGATTTGTCTGTTTCCATTAATGCGAATTGGGTCAAGGTCAAATGAATAGTTCTTAAATTTAAACGATTTCGTTGCCAAATTATATAATGAATATCTCAACTCTTGCCTTGCAGATGCCTGGACTTGTGGTCTTCAGACGCCGCTGGTCTGTTGGCTCGGATGATCTGGTAGTACCGGGTGCATTTCTCTTGGCGATACACTTTATAAGGTAAGTCCGGAATGTTCGAATACAGATGCTCTATTATATACATACATATGTATTATAAAAATGTTCGATGTTTATCTTTCAGCTTTGTACTTGTGGCCGTCTCGTTAGTTTTATTTGAATATAACACAAGTGTTTTAAGTGTTAAACTATTGTTCTATCATCTAATTAGCTACTTGTTAATACTATTTTGTGAGTATGATACTGCCAAAGAGTTGGCATCCAGAACTAGTTAGCTAATCTGTGGCACTTACCCACTTTGCAGTTTCAATATGCGTAGAAATAGGCATTTGTGTGATCTCGATGCGCGGCAGCATTTTGGACTCCGAGGCGCGTACATCGATCAATATCTGGATATATCTCAAGAGCTGTAAGTGCATGTCAACTCTTTTCGCATCTATCGAATCGATATTGATCTGTGATAATCTGTTTCGCTTAGTGGTGATATTGTTTGATATTTCATGGCTGATATTGGGCTCGATTTGGCTGTCCAATTACTACATGGTGGCGCCCATCGATGACGCCAAAAAGGTCTTTATTGGTGAGTTCGGGTCTTAAACCAGTTGCGAATTTTAGCGCGTCAATCAGTTTGACATACTGCCTTAATGCACCGACAGCCATCATCATATGCAACTGGACGCTGGTGTTTATCACGCTGATAACCATCTGGTGCACATTCGATGCCGCCGGTCGTTCCTGGGTCAAGATGAAGAAGTACCAGCGCTCCATGCGCGAGACTGAGTCGCGTTTCAACTACAAGCGCAGCAACAGCATGAATCGCAACTGGCGGCAACGGTATGTTAACTATATACATACAGATCGTATCATATATATATAATCCTTAATTCCGTAGCAAGGTGATGCGCGCATATCAGGACAGCTGGGATCATCGTTGCCGTCTGCTGTTCTGCTGCATGGGCTCGTCGGAACGGAATCGCAATTCGTTTACGGATATTGCGAGACTGTTGAGCGATTTTTTTCGCGAACTAGATGTGGTGCCATCGGATGTGGTCGCCGGTTTGGTCCTGTTGCGCAAATTTCAGCGCCTCGAGCGTGAGGCAATTGTCAGGCAGCGCAAAAATGGGACATACGAGTTCCTCAGCGGTGTGCCAATCACGGAGCACACACAGTTCCTAGCACTCAACGATGCCAAAAATTATGACTTCTTTCAGACCGTCATACACTATATGTACTTTGCCCAGGGCGCCTACGGCTGGCCCATGTACGTCATCATCAATCGAAGCAAAATGTGGCATCTGGTGCCCGAGCTCAAGTGAGTATTCATTGAATCCAATTGACATTCTGTTATTGTTTATTTCGATCGAGCACTAATCAATAATGTCTGTGAGTTTGACAAGCGCATGAGTTGCATTCAATCAAACCAATTGGTAGACCTCGGTGCAAGGTAGTTAAAGACATCTTTGAGGCCATAAAGTATATTTGCACTATATCATTAGACTTGAAAAGAAAAATCGCCCTTCTATGCGATTTTAAAAAGCCTCTAGTAAGGCCAACAAATTGTATCTAGACACGTCTATGCTCTCACTTTTCTTTCTTACTGTCTTTGTCTCGGCAAATCTCGTTTAGTCTATCGCATTTTTAATTCTCTTTGTTAAACTTTTTCTTTACCTCTTGTACTCTCTCATTCTTTCTTTCTCTTACTTTTGCTGTCTGATCACACTATCCAACCCCCCCCCCCCCTCTCTCTCTCTCCATTTCTTTGTTTCTAACTCTCACTCTCTCCTCTCTGACTCACAATCACTCTGTTTTGCTCTCTTAGTTACACAATCTCACTTGCTTTTCCCCACTCTATACTTTCGCCTTACTATGCGATTCTCAATTTCTTCAATTAGGGATGAGAGATGCCATTTGGGTATTCTTTAAAGGAACATACTAAAATCAACAGGACGACATTCATGTGGCGTTTGCTTGTATCATTTGCAGGTGCTTTGGCTGCTGTTGCGGCAGCGGAGACGACGGCCAGGTGATCCAGGACAATTGCTGCTACTGCAATTATGCGGCTCTGAAGAAGACTTTGCAGCTGGGCGACATCGATATTGTGTATGCCACATACCATGTGGATGTGGGCGAGACGCCATTCTTTGTGGCCGTCGACTATACGCAGAAGAAGATCGTGATCAGCATACGCGGCACGCTGAGCATGAAGGATATACTGACCGATCTGAATGCGGAGGGCGAGGTGCTGCCGCTGCAGCCGCCGCGCGACGATTGGCTGGGCCACAAGGGCATGGTCCAGGCGGCCATTTACATACGCAACAAGCTGCAGCAGGAGAATCTCATTGAGCGCGCCTTGCAGCGCAACGCGGATCGCTTGACCCACACCTTCGACCTGGTGCTGGTGGGTCACTCCCTCGGCGCCGGCACCGCGGCCATATTGGCCATACTGCTCAAGCCGGAGCATCCGACGCTGCAGTGCTTCAGCTATTCGCCGCCCGGCGGATTGCTCAGCATGCCCGCTGTCGAGTACTCCAAATCGTTCATTACGTCCGTGGTGCTTGGCAAGGATGTGGTGCCGCGCATCGGCCTCAATCAAATGGAGGCGCTGCGTGCGGATCTCATCAATGCCATACAGCGCAGCGTGGATCCCAAGGTACGACTCAACCCAAGCCCCAGTTGGCCGTATATATCTGTGCCCATAAGCTAAATATCTATTCTCGATATGGTCATATGTGTCTCGGCTTTAAATTAAAAGGGGTTTCAGTTGCAGGCGAATTAGAACGATCGGTCGAAAATAAAGTTCACACTTTGCCGATCTTCAAAATATCTTCATCAAACTTGGAGTTCACAAGTTTTATCATGCTTCCCTCTAAATATATTTCATATCTCATATATAAATATATATATATATCATATAGCTCTATCTGAAGAATGGGTCAAAAATAAGTTTTGGTTTTCAAGTTATGTTCAATTATATTCTGCTCACATATCTGGCAAATCGTATCGAATGGGAGTACTCTATACTCTACTCTCTATAATCGAAATAAAGCTTGCATATCTATAAGGTTATTTAATCGGATTCTGCTACTTCACTTAATTGCGTATTTGATTATTTACTTCGAACAGTGGAAGACCATTTCATGCTCGGTCATCTGCTGTGGCTGCGGTCCCGAGCCGACCTCTGTGGTGAACATGTCCGGCCAGGACACGCACATCAATCAGTACCAGGAGGTGAGTCCAAACTCATATGTTAAACTTACACATAACTCATTTCCTGTCTAATCTTTAGGAGCGCGGCACGGCACGCTCGACCAGCGCCCATCCGACGGACAGCTCCATAGCTTTAACACTGCACCAGCCCTTATATCCGCCCGGCCGCATCATACACATTGTGCGGCATCATCCCAAGCCAGATGAGTGAGTAAATCTCTCTGCCCCCAACGGGATTTCAATCTCAATATCTCTCTCTATCTAATTGCAATTTCAATTTGTATTTGAATCCGAATTCGACTTTGGTTTTATTATGTTTTTCACATCTGACGCGAGATCCGCTTGACGATCGTCTCCTAATTAACAACTCCGTTTCTGTGTGTGTGTGCCAGTCTGTGTGTGTTTGTGTGTGTGTGTAGGTGTGAATTATCAGCTCGTCGTCAAAAAATGTGCAAATGCGTTTAGCCTTGAGATTGGCGTCTGAGTCATAACTGAAATGACGTCAGATTTGTCCGGTTTCTGACTCAATTTGCGAATAGGCAAAGCTTCGCACAGTGGAACCAAAAAATGTCCAAATTTATGAATTAGTGCAAAAAATTCTGAAGTATTTGGAAACTCAAGAGAGTGGATAAAGAATATACCTTTTAGCTTTAGAAGCAAAAAATTGATGAAGTATTTGGAAACTCAAGAGACTTTCCTATCGATAGAAAAGAAGAAGAAGAAGAAGAAAGTTCTGATTCTTCAAACTCATACAGTTTAAAAGCTTAGCATACTGAAACAATGTATAGTTAAAGTACGTAGAAACAATTTATAAAATATATTATTTTAAAATTGCATTTCAAACTGAATTCCGCTAAAAATAACATCAATTTCCCGATTTTGAGCTTGGGAAAGTATCAAAATTAATAGCATAAAAATTAATTGATTAAAAATTAATTCATGCCATATAATATATAATTATTTGATAGAAATTGTTTTCGTTGTTAGATTACTATTTTTTTTTTTAATTGATTTTTGGTCATGTGTTTGTCTTATGTTTGCCCACTGTGCGCGAAGCGTGTCAAGCGGAGCGATTCGCATTCGTTTTGTTTTGTCACCCAGTTCCCAACATACGCAAAATCAATTCAAATACTCGTATGTCAATATAATTATTTAAAATTATTTTCAGGCAAAAATACGACAGTGGTTGGAGGTAGGCCCGCTGCACAGATGATTATTAAAAAAAAAAAAAAACCAAAAACAAAATATATTTTTAAAGAAAAAAACTAAAGAAAAGAAACGAAAAACGAAGCGAAATCAACGAAACCAACGCGTTTTTGTCTTGTCTCTTCCTCTCTTTCTCTCACACTCGCTCTCTCTCTCTCTCTCTCTCACTCTCTCTCTCTCTCTGTTTTGTACATTTAGCTTTAGATAGTATGAACATGATTTCTAAAGTTCTTATTGTTTGCCAATTGCATGCTTGCATGCGGCGACGCATGTTATTCGTTGAGGCCCCTTCGCCCCTCTATCCCTTATTCTTTACCAGTTCCAGCGCCCCTCCCTACCCCCAACGAACTCGCTCTCGTTGCTCAACCAGCGAGTAGAAATTTTAAAGATTTTTCTTTTTCACTTCAATGATTTTTGTGTTCCTATCAAATAATTTGCAGCTGCATGTTGAGTCTTAAGAAATACCCATCTAATATCAAAAACTCCCATTCATATTCTTATTTTCCCTACACCCAACGAACTCGTTCTCGTCGATCAACCAGCGAGTAGAAATTCGAAAGATTTTTCTTATCAAATAATTGCAGCTGCATGTTGAGCCTTAAGAAATACCCATCTAATATCAAAAACTCCTATTCCTATTCTTATTTACCAATCCGAACCTCCCTTCCAACACCCAACGAACTCGCTCTCGTTGCTCAACCAGCGAGTAGAAATTTTAAAGATTTCTCTTTTTGATTTGAATGATTTTTGTTTTTTGCCTTAAGAAATACCCATCCAAACCTACTCCTATTCCTTTCTCTCCCTATATCTGCCCACTCCCTCCACCCTTTTGTGTCTCACACTCTCTCTCTCTCTCTCTGTCTCGCTCTCTTTTGGTCTCTGTTTCGAATTAGCCCTAGCCAAATGTTGAATTGTAGTTTGCATTATAATTTCAAGCAGTGCATAGACTTTTTTTATATATACATACATACCTCGAGTTCCGCTATAACCGATTTATACGTATTATTCGTTTCTAGTCTTTCCTTTTCAAATATATGCATTAGTTGTATGCGTAACAAATTGAACACCTATTAATTAAACATTAATTGACATTTGTACTGATGTGTTTAGCGAAAAATTGCCCTTACTTGTATTACAGAAATGTGCTTAAGAATCGTGAGCCGGTCTATCAGGCGATATGGGCCGATTCAACCGATTTCGATGAGGTGCTCATATCACCTGTCATGCTGCAGGATCATATGCCCGACAAGGTTCTCGCCGCGCTCAAGAAGGTAATTTCGGATGTTGATGACGAACGTACATCGGTGAACAGTTGTTCCACAGCCAGTTGAGCGAAACGCCCAATCAATAATATTATCAATAATATTAATAATTATAATAATAATAGTAACAATAGACTCGATGATAATGATGATGATTGATGATTGATAATTGATAATAATGGTGGATGTAGTGATGATGATGCTCGTACAACTTCTCGTCGTGTTGTTCTAGAACCCTAGTTTTAGCATATTTACATACTATATAGCGCACAATGATTTAGTTAGCCTACTATTAATAAGTCTAATGTTAAGGCGTCGAGCGTTAGTCTAAACTTAACCACAACACAGTCCACACACAAAAACATGACCACGCCCACGCCCCACTATCGCAAAAAAAAACCAAAAAAAAAACGAAAACGAAAACAAAAACAAAAACCTCTCGTCGCCACATGCTTGAAACACTCGCTGTTGTGTCCATCAATGCTGAAGCGAATTTTGAACTGTTTGATTTAGTAAGCGCTTATGATTCTGACAATGTTTTTAATTAACTTAATATATTCAATATTGTTGCCAAATAGCATTCGTCCAAGACATGCCCAAGACCGATATAACTTAGCGCCCATTTCTACACAGACATGTACATATATAAATATATTTATATATGCATATTCTCACACCGATCTAGCCATTAGTTAGTCACACAACAACCTATTTAATTGCCTATTTATTTATTGCTTAAGTACTCGTTATTATTTACTTGTCTACCCGTATATTAAGTTACAAACTGTATTTGCATTTCTGTTTATTGCCTCATTTTTTATGTTCGTTTTTTTTTCAATATATATTTATATACACAAAGTTTTTGTAATTGCATTTTTCATTGAAATTATGTTTGTGTCGGGAAACGAGCAGCTAAAAGGGTTCATTCCAATTGCAGCGAGTAACGAGTAGCTGGATGCCAACAACTCGTTACAAACATATTCGGCGTTTAGCTGTTAGATCTTTATCTGAAATATTTCAGGCTTTATTGTATTGATTTAGCGAATTCATATTCTTATAAACGTTTGTTTCAAGAACCGAATCGCTGAAAGTGAACCTAAAGACAGCAACTCGTCAGTTTTGAGACTTACTCGTTGCGCCAAGCGTTCTGTTCATATTGCTTTAAATATCTCCCAACAGCAACAGAAAATTTGTTCAATTTATTTTAGTTTTAAGTACTTATTCGTTGGTTTTACTTTGCGACTTTTATTTGGTAAGTTTTATTTGGAACACACGCACAACACGATACAACAACCGATATAATAATACTCCAATCTTGTGGCTCCCCAACATCCAACACATACAAACACGCATTTACACATACATACATACATATGCATAGAAATGTATACAGTTATGGAACACAAAATGCTGCATGGGCATGTTCGTTTGTTGTAAAGCTTTCGTAGCGCTAATGTGTGCCAAAAATGCGACACTTAATTAGTCGGTTTTTTTTTGCTAGTTATGCAATAGTACCAATCCCTGCCAAAAACCAAAAACTTGAATTGCCTGGGAGTTTGCCAGAGTATTACGTAGGTTAGGAGAGTTGGCCAGGCAGGCGGACCTGAGTGTGAGGCTTTTTGAGCTCTAGCTGAAATATCCTTTCTTGACATAGTACATACATACATACAAATGCTGAAGCTGTTAACAATGAATTTAATTATATTTTTTGTTTACTCGTTTATTTGTTATTTTGCGTCAACTATGCCACATATGTATGCCACATATGTATGGGCGTGTGCTATTATGCGGGTCAATCCGATAACGATAACGATTTACGATAAATGCCAACCGACATTCGTTTCAAATATTCAAATGACCAACGATGATGTGTACAGGTCGTGTCATGTAGAGAACGTACCGTAAAGGCATGTACTACTCGTAAATGTAAAGATAACACGACAATAACAACAACAACAACCACCAATACAACAACAACAACAACAACTTCGACAACACAAAATACCGATACCAGGTACAGCTGCCTACTACTTAAAAGACTATGTACTTAAACAACTTTCCATTTTGCTCTCGTTAACAAAAAAAAAATAACTTAAAAAAAAAACAAAAGAAAAAAAAGTTAAAATTCAATACAAGTCTCTATCTCTATTTCTCTCTCTCTGTCTCTTTATAAATATATATCTATATATATCTATATATATACATATCTTTTTCCTACGCTCAACCTAACCTATAGTTTTGTACAATTTTTGTTTCATTGCCTCTCCAAAACTGTCTAAATGTATTTGTACTCGATACTTGTATGTACAACTTCGAAAATGTGTTATGCATATTGCCACCAGTCTCACGCCCCCCTCTCCCATCCATTTACATAAATTTTAATATTCTTTACCGTTAAACGGACATACTTACATACATACCTATTGTGCATTCTTTTTTCATGTAAACAAGCCAAGATAGCACCAAAAGAATTTCCAAACGGTTTCAGTCACCCAAAGCTATCCCCCCCCCCCCCCCCTTTCTACAGACAATGTTTAAATGCAACTCCGCCTTCAGCTTTGACATAGTCTCCCGCTCGCTCACTCACTCACGCACTCGCTCTCGCTCACGCTCTCGCTCTCGCTCATTTGCTTCACAATAACATTTCCTATTGTACATACATACATACATATGTAGCTGTTAATTATCGTCTGTGTATGTAACTGTGATACTGTATAGATACATATGTAGTACTCTACCTGCATATGCATACATACATATATACATACAAATTGATAAACACGCCTTGAAATGTATTAACGATCTGTAACATTTGCCTTCTCGTTGTCATTGCTCTCGTTACCATTCGCTGGCAGGTTGTAACGACGAGTGGGCCACGAAAGCCCCAGCGCCAGACCTCGAACGCATTCTCCACCACATCCTTGGAGCAGGAGCCGGAGCTGGAGCCGGCACTGGAGCTGGAACCGAAGGAGGAACGCAACCAGCTGGAGCTGGCGCCAACGAATGCCGAACAGATGCTGCATTGCAAGCGTGCGGCGGACAGTTCCTATACAAATCTGAGCAACTGCATCATGCTCACGCCAACGGCACAGCATAAGCTCTGCCTGGAGACGTCCTTCACCAATCTGCAGCATCAGCTGGAGCTGCGTGCCGCGGTGCAGCCAGGTGGCAGCAAGGCCTCATCCATAGCCGGCAGCATCTTTGGCCGCAGCCAACTCAGCTCCACAACAACTCCGTACGACATATCAAGCGTCCTGGACGACAGCATCACAACGGTGACCATGCGCAAGAGCCCCTGCTCCATGCTCAGCGAGACGACGACAATCCTGATGAATGCCGAACCTGGCGAGGCGCCGCGCCTGCGTGCGGTCGCATTCGACATGGCAGCGATGACGCCGCCGCCGTCGCCGCTGCCTCTGCCGCTGGCGCTGGCACGTCAGCATTCGGAGAAGAAGCCGCGATCGCTGCCATTGACGCAAGCGTTGCGTCGCGCCTCGGTGGCGGGTCAGGGCGTGGACCTGCTGCACGACGACTGGTACGGGCTGGCGCCGCTGGCCAGCCCAGAGACGCTGTCCGAGATCTCGAGCGTATCGTCGCGCAGCAGCGTCCCCATCAGCCTGGCCAACAGCATTGAGCGGTATCTGCAGCACATAGGCGTCGGAGCGGGTGCGGGCGCGGGAGCGGGCGCGGTGCCCAAGGTGCCGCTGGAGGACATATTCGAGTCGCAGTTGCACACGCCGAAAGTGATGCGACGTGCGCCCAAGTTCAGCGAAAACTTGTCTGGCTGCGCCGAGGACACCCGCAATCTGGACCAGTACAAGCGTCTGGGTCGCGTGTTTATCACATTTCCGCGCATCTTTCCCGAACCAGCAGGTGGCCACCAGCTGCAGTACAAGCACAGCCAGGGCCTGGACTCCAACTCGAGCGATGACAGCTTCGAGTCGGCGCACAGCCTGCACCGACTGCAGCTGCCGGCGACTGTGGCGTGCGGTGCCAGCTCCAAGTCAGCCGATCAACTGGATGAGAACGCACACGAGACACGCTCGCCGCCAGCCAAGAAGCTGACGTTCAGCGACAGCAACATCCTGGCCGAGGAGCACTGCCTGCGCCAGTGCCCACACTGTCCATGCCGGCGCGATGGACGGGATTGCTGCACGCGCTCGGAGCACGATCATCAGCAGTGCGCCTCAGTGGAGGCGACGGCGACTGCCGCTGTCGGCTCGTCGGATACCAACAGCAGCTTCTACAGCGCCAACTCGGAATCATCGCTGGAACACTTTGCGACACCGAATCGACAGCTCCAGTTGAAGGTCAATGGCGGGCATGCCCACAATGAGATACTCATACGTCCGGGTGTCCTTGAGTCACATTTTCCCGTTTACGGCGGCGGCGGTGGCCAGCCGGAAACGCCGGCCATTGTGGCGCCGGCATCGCCCTCGCCCTCGCCCATGAGCAACGGCGGCAGCAAGCGGCCAGATGTGGTCGGTGGGCGTGTGCGCAAGCGCCTATCCTCCGAGGAGTTCGTATTCGCGCGCAGCGAGGATCTTCCCATTTTAGTACAAATCGGTGATAGGAGCGGCCACGATAAAAGCTCGCCGTCGACCCGTAAACAGCGGCGGGGCTGCTGTGTGTATCCCGTTGGCAATAATATACGGATTGCCGGTGCCGATGTGGATGCAGCTGCTGCGGCTGCGGCCGCGGCCGGCTCCCCCACGTCCATTAGCAAATATTCCCGCACTCGCGTCGCTGCGGCAGCAAAGAAAGCTGCGCCGGCAGCAGCAGCTGCTGGTTTAAATAACGAAAGTAATGTTTAATAAGTACATAAATAAGCGTAGTTGAATGCAGTACCTAAGCAACCGCAACCGAACATTTATTCTAGATTTTGCGTTATGCACAAAAAAATAAAATTTAAAAACAAATAAATAAAAATCGAACAGCAACAAAAGCTAAAAACAATTAACGTTAACAATACAATACATATAGCGTGTAAACACACAGCGGTTAACATTGAACAAATGCGAAATACATATATTTTTTGTGCAGCTAGCTGACCAACTGAGTAGCAGCCCCAATGCGAAAAAGTTTTAATAAAATGTTTTAAATAAAAAACGTTACGAAAATCCAACAAACAATTTGAAAATTAATCGGCTCATGGTAGCAGGGTAATCGATAGTATCGATATAAAAATACTGTATCTACAAATTAAGAACATACCGATAAGTAAGCATTTCCGTTTACAGTTTGAATTGAATACCATCTGTTTATGTTGGCTATTCGCAATAAAGTAAAATGAATATTAATAATATTAATAATGGTTTTAAGGCATTTGGCGATAAGTCGATAAGTCTGTAAAAATATCTGTGTGCATCGCTAGACAATAACAAAAACAGCTGAGCGTTCAGCTGGCTATCCAAAGGTCAGTTGTATTTCGTTTTGTTTACATCACCCTTATCCCAATTTAGTTTTAAACAATATATTTAATGATTCTCACCGAAATATGCTCTCTGACAAGGACACGGCAGCTGCCCCAGCTAGTGTGCAGACAATTAAGGAGCAAGAGCCACAATGCGCCAGCAGCCAGTACAACAGTTCTATCAGCGGCCGATTTTCCCATACTGTTGGCAAAGGAGCAGCGCGAGCGCTGTATGGAAAAGCTCCGCAAGTTGCCAGCCTTTCCACGTCCCAAGTCACTTACTCCTAACAGGCACGAAAAGAACTCGGCCTCCGTACTGATAGCATTGTGCCTGGAGCGCGACACGTAAGTATCGGTCAGTGAGACTTTAAATGGTGGGAGAATCATAAGACTCTCGTCTTGCAGCAATGAAATATCGCTGCTATACACCCGCCGCTCCCGGCACCTGCGTAGGCACAGCTTACAGATATCGTTTCCAGGTGGCAAACGAGATGAAACTGACACCAGCTTTGTGGATTGCGCGCTGCGAGAAACAGAGGAAGAAATTGGCTTACCGCGAGAGCGCATTCAAATTTGGGGCGAGGCCAATCCGATCGATCTACCACGCACCGCCACCATTGTCCCAGTTGTGGGCGTAGTGCCCGATTTCCATGTCTCCCAGCTTAAACTCAACTGGGACGAAGTAGAGGAGGCTTTCAGTATACCGCTTAACTCGCTGTTGACGCCGTCAGCCGCCCGTCATACTCAATTTCGTACTGGCTACAGCGGACCAGTCTTTGTTGTGGATCAACATCGGATCTGGGGGATTACCGGCTATTTAACATATATGTTCCTGCGCTGCCTGCTGCCCAGTTCTATGCTGCCCAGTACGCTGAAAACGAATATTAAGTTTATACGACCATATAAAGTGCCACCAAAGCTGCCACATCATCATGTGGAGGCAAAGGTCGAATAGTTTTTGACTCTAATCAGAAATACTCGAACCTTTAACGGATTCAGGGCAAAGCTCGTCTAATTTTGTTTTACTGTGTAATATTTTACTCAATTGCAGTATTTATCAAATAACGATGTACATAAACTGAATATTCATTTAATAAAAGCATGTTGGATACATTTTTAATTTGACCTGTTGGTCAAAGCCATTGTTAGTTATGTTGTTCGTTATGAAAATATTGTATTTGTATACTCATTTAAAATGTTTGTAACTGGCAGTATGAAAATGGATATATATATATATATATAATTGCTTGACGTGACTGATTGATCGATTGACAGATTGATTGATTAGTGGTCACTCTATCATTCTGTTTCACACACTCTTACGTTAATTGTACTCTCTCTCTCTCTCTCTCACTTTTATGCAATTCTCAAGGTTCTTGATTGCGATGATATTTAAAGAGCAACAAATAGCTCAGCTCAAATAATGTTTTTGTTTTTATTTTTTGAGTTTGGTATTTTAATTTACAATTGTGTTCAGATTGTATATATATATATATATATGTCTAACAAAATTTGTATAATTTCAAGTGTTTCTACAAGTACGCACAAATATTTTTTCTCTATTACAGTGTTAACATTTATATATATGCAATAAATATTTGAGTATATTATATTTACATATTGTTTCAACGTCAGAATCCTAAAGCTAATGGAAAACTACTCTTGAGAGCTTGCAGAAGGCTCAGCCACATCATTTAAAATTGGGTTAGAAGGAACGCCACATTCGTGGACTTGTGTTGTAACGGTTATATAACAAGAACCACATAGTCTTACTGGATTAAAAAGCTTTTCATACGGTAAAGGTGCCCAGAACTCCGAGCAGTCAGCACAGAAAATTTCTCCACATGATCTGCAATACAGAAATGTTAAGGAATATATATTAATTGAAATTGTTTAAACAATAAACACAGTTGTTAATTTAAAAAAAAAAAAAACAATCATAAGACCATAATTTGAACACAACCATATTTAGAGCTTATTACAATATGTTAATCAGAATTTGTTTATTTCAAAATGAGAAAAATATTTATCACAGCCAATCTGACATTAGCTCATTATTTTGAATTAACTTCCGTTGTCCTTAAATCTGGCTTCAGATTATTTAACGAATAACACGTAAATTATATAGGAACGCTTGTGATTCAAACATGATGAAATATTTCATACTTATTTAGCGAAGAACTTGTGCCAGATTGATTGCCGCGAAATGACTGTTGGCCCGTATATTGTAAGTATGTGTGGCTAGGTAACTAAGGTATGTTATAGACACAACAGATACAGGTAAAACTAAATAAAAAGAATATGTTGAAATGCGCACCGACAATGATGTTTTCTTCGTCCAAGCCAGAATTCAATTTGACAATTAGAGCAACGCGAAACGGCATGATCTGGTACCCAGAGAATACTTGAAGCCTTTTTCTCTTGAATTGAGGATGTGGCATATGACGATGGACCACTACGTTCTTCTACGGCTTCCCAAGAACACGTCGATGCATTTTCAACAATATCAGATCCGTTTTCCTGAAGAAATGTAAATAATTAGACCAACAATCGCTGGATGAAGGCGCATGCCCTGGTTAAATTTATATTTAACCTATATTTAAATATATAATATTCGAAATTATCCAGCCAGTTATGTCAGGATTTTGAAAATTGGTTGGTTAGCACCCGAAACAGTGAACAAGTAGTTGGTTAAATATGGCTGGATATATTCATCTCATCTTATGTGTGTTTCCTTTCTTTCTTTTTTTTTTTTTTTTTGATTATAATATATGTATTTACAAATTTGCATACATATTTAATAGATTTGTATGTATGAAAATTTGTTTGGTAAATGCGTATGTTTGTGCAATTGAAACGAAAAAAATATATAGTCATAATTACATGCTCCACATTTGTTGATACGACGCTGTTGCAGCTTGGACAACCTTTTTGTAACAACGCCAAACGCATGCCGTGGATTTCGCGCAAAAGGACTTCCTCGCGTAGCTAAATGCGAAGATAGTTCATTAATTTAATATATTTGCTTATGTGTTAATAACGAAAAATAATAACCTTGTGATCTTGAACAATTTGATGTAGTCGAATATTTTGTTCACTTAAGCCATGTGCCAAGCCATCGGGACAGGTTATTGTGAATTGTGTTCGCTCCTGTGATCCCTGAGGAGTCGGAGGCAATGATATAAGTCCACTTGCCGGGAAATTAAGTCCACTACAAAAGCAAGAATTTTCATTATATAGCTAAAGTTTAGTTAACTAGAGTTTAGTTAGTCTACCTGGAATTTTCTGTATATTTTAAATGTGATTGGTCTCGATTAAGGTTCGACCAGAGCGTGTTTCTTCGCATCGCAGCCATCGACTCATCAAAGTTCGCAAACGTGCAATGCGTTTGAGAGTTACATCTTTGATGTTCAGGTGATAAAGGTAGGGAGCCGCCATTGTTGCTGCCTTCGGCTAACGACGCAGTTCCATTGAAAGGTTCCTCTTTAGTTGCATTTACATTTGTTTCGTTGCAGCTATCGTCGGTAGTTGTATTCTCTTGAGGCATATAAAGATTTAAGGGATGATCAAAGGCATCGGTTTTATCCACATTTGCAGTGGCGCTTTGTTGAAAATATCGCAGATTGTTGGGTTTTATATGAACTCGGGGCAAATTGTTATAACTTTGACTAATTTTATTGGTATGGGCAACAGAGGTTGCTTCGGTCTTTTTTTCTTGAGGTATGACATCGGCATCTTGTTCTGAAGGCACGTCGCTGTCTTTAGCTGTATCGTCTTTTAACATCCCGTTTGTCCCTTGTTGTGTAGATTCTATAGGAATTAAGGTATCCGTACTAGTATCAATTTGGCCTTGGCCCTGACGCACAGTCCGGCTATTATCACTAAAGCTTTCACAAATAGATGGAGCATAATCTGAATATGAAAAATTCAAGTTAACAATGAGATTTAGCTAACTTATCTAAGTGATTAACTAACCATTTGGGGAATCACAAGGAGTATGTATTGCAAAATCAATGGGCTCGGAATCCATACGCTGAATGGTGATCTTGCCATTTATGGATGGGGAACCCGCATTTAATATATCACATTGAACTGAAGAAGTACTTTGTTCCATCTTTAATTCAGTTAACAAATTTGTGGACCCATTTTGTGCATGCTCCTCCTGTTGTGGACCGTCGCACTTATCCTCTGAGTCGGAATCATGTTTGATATCATGTTTTCCATCAATTATACATTCCTTTTCCTCCGACCGAATGTCAAACATGGAGTTGCTGTTCACATTCAAATTCAAGCCATCCGTTACGCTATAAATATTGATTTATTTATAGTTAAACTGCAACTCGATGGATGAGCTTGTCGCAACTTACATTGAATCCACCGTCACATTGGGATCACTCGATCTTCTCGACATTGTGCTCTGAGACAGCTCGTTTGTTGCTATATTTTCGGTCGATCGGGTTTTCGCTGATGAGCCTAAATGGGATTTTATAAAGCAATTAAGAAATAGAATTTTATTTAAAACATTTTCGTCGCTCACCGTTAACGCTGTGAACACTTTGTCGTTCATTGCTTTGTAAAGGAAGATCGGTGCCATTTTTGTTTCCTAAACTACCAAGATACACATCGGACCAAAAATCTAAAAATCGCACACTGTGCGCGGGCCAAAGTACCTGAAATGGGTTGAGAAACGAAAAATTAGACATATTGCTATCATACATATGATAATTGTACGCATTTGTTAATACCTTTTCAGTCTCGTGCTTATAGAGTGGATTTCTATACATCGTTTCCGCTAGAAATGGCCATACAGAGAATGTGCGATCAAAAACTGAATTTTCAATTCGTTCTTTTAGTGAATTGCATAGGAACGTGCCAAACAGACATGACAGTGAGTGCTGGGCGAGTTTTATCTAAAAAAGATTCATGTGTTTTTTTTCTGCATTCAATAAACTGCAACAAATTGGCTCACCAAGTAGCCTATGCTGAACTCAAAACTACACGGGTACTGATGGTGTATTTGGTGCACCAGGTCGAGCCATTGCAGAAATACTGGACAACGTTCATTCACCTCATCCGAATTTGGGCCGTTTCCAGAGCGATCAGCAAACTTGTGACCGAAATTGAGCCATTCGCGTTCGACTAACACACGAAAACCCTACAGAATCGATATTTAATGTATCTTATCTTTCAATTGGATTGGATCACCATACCTCAACGGTTCTGTAAAAGGGATCCAGACAAATTTGCGCTGTGGCCACAATTTGTGGTGTACGATCCCAGCCGTCGGAGCAATGTACCAGCACCGGACGACCATTTTTCTCAATCGTATGCACGACTGTCATTGTGGCTCCCAATAAGCCCGATAAATGTTGCATCCACATCGTTTTTTCCAATTGTCCAAGCCAACTGGTAATTAGAAAATTGATATATACATTATATGCCGTTCGTGTAGTCTGATTATATCAATTACTTACTTTGGATCGTCGGGCGATGAGGCACATAGCTGTCGCACAGCATGAAAACTCTTTCGAATTGCATGGATATTACCCAAATTCATAAATTCTATTTCGGCGCATGGATAATATTCGATACACTCACAGCCGCCGCCGCGTGCTCGATTTGTGACCGCTGACGTATAGCTGCGGGCATCCACGATGAGAATTTTCTTAAAATAAAATTGGAAGCTGTTGTATATGTGGGCTTCTCTTGGATTTTATGGTTATCAATTGCAAGCCTCCTCTTTTTAAGATAAGATTACAAATAGAGCTTTAATATATATATATATGAATGCCTCGGTTGTCGCTCATCTTGTCCAAACGTACAGTACTTAAATTAATATATGCCCTATAAATTATCTATTAGGTTTAGTCTTATTCAAAACTTTTATCGCTCAAATGTAAAAACAATAAATAAGAATTCTGCATACCCTGATTTCATCTAGTGCAAGTTCCTCGTGCGAAGAATCCTCCAGCGATGGAGAGCTCTTTCCAGAGGAGCCTGCCTCGCCATTTGTATCTTTTGCCAGTCGCCTCGCATGCTCACCTCTGTCAAAGGCACAAGCATCTGCTAGCGCTTTCAGCAGCTGCTCATCCTTGTAATTTCTCCAGCCCAGCCAGCCGACCTCTGGCTGACTGCAGCGTGCCAGAATGGCGCCAGACTTTTGATGGCGCCAAACAACAGCCGGCAGGCGACGCGATCCCCGGAAATTGGCAATGTTGTGAAGCATTTCATCAGTAATGCAGCACGGAACAAGTAATTTTTGTGGATACGAAGGGCACAGTTTAAAGTCAGTGTTTGCCGTTGAGATCCGCCAAGACCCCTTCAAATCGAACCCAAGACGGATAACTTCATTCTTAAAGTCGCTCTCATAGCGAATCGCTCGCTGCAAGCGATGCAGATGTTCGCTAGCCTGGGTCTGGGCTTGTATTGATATTGAATTCTCAGGTGCTGCTGGCGCCGATTTCAGGCCAAGGCCGTTGATTAGTGCAGCGCGCTCTTTGTTGCCAATTATGTCGCAGGTCCACGAGTAGAATGGGAATGCGAAGAGCGTCTCCAGTGTTTCGGGCACACCAATTATCAGCTGAATGCGACGCTGCCATTCCAAGCATTGCTCTGCAGATGGAAACGAACACCTTACAGTGCTGGCATCCTTGCAATTGACAATCAGCTGGAAAAGATCACGCACTTGCACCGACTCAATTAGGCCCAGCGGCACATACGTCTCGAATGCAGTCGATTTCTTTGACAGAAATATGCGATAATTGGACAAGGCTAGAATGCCATCGTCGGTTCGTCCCAAGTATTTAGTTGATTCGCCGGCAACTGTACACCAAAGTGTATTAAATATTTAGATAATTATTTATTTATTTAGTTATTTGCAAATATTCGAAATGGCACTCACGTTCTTGAAAGGGCACAGACAGCTGCGAATCTTCCTTTTCCATTTGTGATTTTGGATAAGATTCCGCGGCTCGTATAAAACAAATCGATGGGGGCGGCGATCCATCTGACATCATGTGTTGCGACTGCAATAAAAGATTCAATTAGTGCATATACACTAACACACGCACACATATGTATAGACATATAGATTTTACTTATAAGACCCAATACATACGCATCTGCAACGCTTGCGGGTTCGAGCACCTGAGATCCTCTCAGGGTTACTATTAGTTGTCGCAGCACAGCAGTGGAAAAGTATTGTGTATATTTTAAAAAATTGTTTATGCGTTAATGGCACCAGTTAAACAGGACGTCACATACACACAAATGCACATAAAAACATGCATGTATGTATGAACGTATGTACATATGTATATATCGACACGAGAACTCAAGGCAGCGCAATTAAATGCAAAATGTTTCAAACATCCAAACACCTTATTAGCAGTTATACTAGATATGAACAAATATATATTTTGTGTGTGGTGGTTGCCAGTGTAGATAATAAGTCTATATGTATGTACGTACGTACAATATACATACATACATTTCAATACAATTGCGTATGAAAAAGAAGCGTTCTATTATGCACATACACTTACGTTAATATGGATAAACTTTAATAAAAAAAAAAAAAAGTTATTTTGGTTTTTTGGCCATGTCCTTACTATTGGACGAATG